ATAACAATCATGATTATTTACATTCTACTCATATTACCGTTCTACAGACAAGTACAAAACGTTCTCGCTTTCTATCCAAAGTATTTTACATGATAAACCAGTTTTATTGAAGTTAATCTAAAAAACCTGGACTTAGCCGGGATGTAGTATGTAGGATACATAGCGAAAAGGTCGCGTACTTTAATTGTACAACGAGTATCTTAGGTGATCAATATGTGCCTCTCCATTGAGTGTGGATAACCCATCAATCTTACACCTACCAAAAACCTGATACAAATATCATTTTTAATAACACACCTATTACTTCCGACAATGATATTGAAAACAACAACCCTATATCTAAATATTTAGAATTTGAAATATCGAGGTATTGTTTTCAGTGGCGGATCCAGAAATTTTCATTGGAATGGTGGGGGGAGGCACTGACTGCCATTATAGGGGGTCCGCTTCAGTGATTCCATAAATTATCAACCAAATTTTTCACACAAAAGGTGACCCGGGCCCACTGTCCCCCTAAATCCGCCTCTGGTTTTGTTCCTTAGTGTCATGAAACCGTAACATTGTCAATACTAAACACCATAGGTACCCACTATGTCTTGTTTTCCAATATTTAGCAGGAAACTTTATATCTGTAATTCAATCTGCATTCGATAAATGTTCAGCTACACATATTTGAAAACTTCTGACAAATGCCCATGCATCGGTTATGGCACTTGTTATGACATATTATGACAGAGCTTAAAGCAATGTCAATAGCGGTTACTGTGTTAACTATCTCTGGTGTGGATGGACTTCGTTCCTTTGCTGGTCAGATTGTCCCAGTTTGCAGTTCTCTACTTTATATACTACATCCACAAAAAATAAATCAGAAATTTCCCAGTTTTGCATGTTGATTTTTTTGTATATTCTAATAGGGACTTACTGTGCCTTTTATAGCAATTTTTTTCATCTACTGTTTGAATCAAAATTTACGCTAAAATAAAGAGGCAACAGAAAACAAACCGACAATCAAATATTAAAAGTCAAAGAATAAGAGATATTAATACCATGGTCAAAAAGACAAACGGTGAAAAGACAGTAAACAAAATACACTTTAAAGAAAACCAAAAACAGAGCAAGACTAACCCCATAAAAATCGTCGACGATCTCGGGTGTCCGGTAGGGTAAGCATATTCTACTCCACTAGTGGCAACCGTGCTGATATAATGACAAGTAACAATTTCTGTGATAAGTCACAATTGTTGATGCCAAAATCATTAGAAACAAGGACAGGATCGTGGCTACGTCAATTGTGGAACAAATCCGTTGTCATCTGTCCGCAAAGTCATGATGGCGGATGTAAAACTTTCAAAGAAGTGATTTACTTTACAATAATTAAGCCTTAAATTAACTTATCAAGGAAATCATGCAAGGTTAAACTGGTTCACATATACGCCATAGTCATATAGCTGCTTGAATGTTGCTACATAGAAGTGGAAAGTTTACCATAGGATACATTGTAGGTGAAATAATTTCTTTTGGTGTATTAGATTTAAAATCATAATGTATTCTAATATAACATATTTGTATGAAGATTTTTACCTTAGTATTTTCTTTTTATGATGATTATGTTCTGTTGACCCTGTGTGTTGGGATATACATTTTGCCCGATTTTTTTAGCAACTTTTATGCGTTAATGAAACAAAAACCTAATTAACCGGGAGCCTTTGGTTCAGTGGTTGTCGGGGCCCTTGCAATCTTCCATTTTTGTTTTATAGGTCCAGCCGCTGATTTTCTGGTTTGGGTTATTCACATATTGTTATGTCGGGGCCTTAAATAATAGCTACCTATACGGTAAGGGTTTTCCCATTGTTGAACGGAGACCTATATATAATTGTTATATCCACGTCATGTTAACCCTGGTGAATAATTGTATCACTGTGAATCATACCACATCTTCTTATTTTATATAGATAAAACCCCATTAAACAAAACAAAACGTAAGTAAGATTGCAACATGATTCATAGTCTTCATCAAAAACCGAAATCAACCCGAGATCGAAAAAAATATCAAGGACTAAGAAAGACCTGTAATTCATATCAATACAAGGGGTGTGGTTAATACGTCAATGAGATACATGCCCAATGATACAAAAAAAAATCTTGACCAACTGAAAGACACACATATCATTTCAGTGGCGGATTTACCGGGGGGGCACAGGGGGCACCTGCCCCCCCAGTCGAGGTCACCAAAAAAAAATTCTCACATAGTTTATTGCTACTGTATCTGCTTATCTAGATATCTAGATAGAAAATCAAGACACAGCTTGATTTGACTTCCTAAACTGGCCATTAATTAACCCCAGCTTCAACATGCGTGATTTATGACAAGTTATCGATGGGTGTGTAAATATTGATTAACAAGTGAAATCTTCTTATCAGGAAAGAAATTACCAACTAAAATCGGTCTTAAAAGAATATGTAAAAATAGATGTTTAGTGTCAAGAAGGTTAGACTAGTATCGATATGAGATATACGTCTGAATTACCAAACACTCACATTGTATACGGTTTCTGGGGAATGTGTCTTTCTCAGAACAGTCTTTTTCGAACTTTATTATACAACAAACAATTTTTTCAATGCATACAGCATTTTTATTTAAACTCAAATGTCGTGTTTCTTTTCCTCATATTTTTTATGGAAACCATCGATTTGTCTTTAAAAAAACATCCCCTTCCACAAAACATGAATGGTCTGTGCCTGATATATAATCATCAATAAAATGATATTGTATTTTTGAAAACCTACTTATAGTACAGCAATATTTGTATATTTTTTCTTGTTTCAATAACCGTGTATGAGGGTATGAATAGGTTACCGTGAATGAGGGTATGAATAGGTTACCGTGAATGAGTGTATGAATGGTTTTACCGTGAATGAGGGTATGAATGGGGTTTACAGATTAGAGAATACAAGTAATGGTCAAAAAGTAAAGACTAGAAAAAAAATGGGCCCAAAAAATATAGAAAACAGATTAAGGGCGTTGAACTATAAAGAATAGAGGACATTATGCAGCAAATAAAAGAGTAGAAAGAAATGGACCAAAAATTAATTAAAAGATATAGAAATGAAGACCTGAACCATCCCCCCCCCCCCACAAACCACCATCATCCCCAATACATGACACCACCACCATATACACATCTCTAAACAAATCTTTAAATTTGGTTTCATGGTGCCCCCCCAGACATCGAGGTTCTGGATCCGCCCCTGCATTTTCAACCAAATTTAGTATTTAAACTCGGTTTAGTGGAATACAAAAAAGTAGTATACATGGTATGCAATGTGTACTTCACCATAACAGAAAAGCACCGAAGGTTAGAATAAAAGAATAAAAGAATAAAAAGACTTCAAATTCACATGTGCAGGGAAAAATCATAAGGAATACTAGATATACATTATCAGAAACTTCATTCAGTTACTGTAAGCAATAGCAAAGTAATTAACCTGCTGATACGGATCCCTGTAACTTAGACGTATTTTGCTTTTTTGAATTGTTGGCTTTCAATACTCTTCAATTTCTTGTTTGATCCTAGCCTTGCAACTTTTGATTCGAGCGTCACTGACGAGTCTTGTATAAATAGTACAAGTCTAAATTGAAAACAACGTTCAAACCTATGATTGCATTGGATAAAAACCGCAATTTTTATACATGTGCATGCAAAACAAATTTCTAGGAAGAGGGGTCTAAATACAGCACAAACAACATTTTCAAAAGACCAAAAAAGTGAAAAAGTATATTTTAACAAAACGCATTTGACTAGCAGGTCGACCAACGGATGTTCTTAAACCCTGCTGCCTGCCATTGGCGATTGCCAAATAAACGGATCATCAGTTGTAAAAAAATTGATCTGAACTATTAAAGTAATACCAAACAGAAAACAATAAACTTGCGGAAAAGATGGTATACCGCAAACAAAAGGTGCAAAAATTAGTACACCATATCTGGATTTCGACAATTAATGTCTCTTCAGTGATGTTAGAAATCGAAACGTTATTTGGAAGGCTATATAATTCACCTCAATTTAGGATATACTCTTGAATTTTGAAGAGTCGAAATAGGATGAACGTATCATTTAAACCTGAAGGCAAATATAATACAAGCCCAAACGAGTCTACGAGAAAACATACTGTGACATATGTCGAATTCTGTAATAACTGATAAAACAGTATAAACATACATGTATCATGATTAAGAAGTGCGAGAAACTAATTTATTCGTAATGATTTGTAAACATAAGAACATTGATACACACAATCTATGAAATGTTGAAAATGTCAAAATGATACAAGATAGTTATTATGCTTAGTGAGATGATGTGGTATCCACTTATTACTTGTGATGCTGAAGCTGAAGCTGTTGAATGAACTGTTACCATTCCAGTGGCTGTTTCTGTAGTCAGAGCACTTTGGGTGACAACATCGTTTTCAGTGACGCCATCGCTTGTTAGTCTTGCACCTATCAAAAAAATATTTTAAAATTCAATACAAATACATGTGAAAGTATAGAAGCCACATTCAAACTAATTTCTTCATAAAATAGTATAAAAGTATCTGATTGGTAAAAATGTACAGTTGACATTTAGCTTCATCGTCTAACTTGTTTACGTGCATCAGTAAACAATTGACGTCATCTGGAATCGAAACATATCACAAAGTCCCTATTCAAATGGCAAAATCAAAAGCTCAAACACACCAAACGAATGGACAACAACTGTCATATTCCTGACTTGGTGCAGACATTTTCTTATGTAGAAAATGGTTAATTAAACCTGGTATTAATCGACAAAAAAATAATCTAACAAAAAAATGAAGAATTATAGGGAAAAAAAAGGATCAACAAGTTACGGTTCACAAAACAGGATAAGACAAAAGTATGAAAAAACAAATTCCACAAAACGGGAGTTATTTTTTTTTGTTACAGAAAGACATGGCTTGTGAGCAAAATTGATTTATTATGGTTATACTTTACCATAGTGAGCAATGATGGCAGCTTTATCATCTGCTGGAATTGTATAATCTGCTACATATCCACCATAAAATGGATACATTAAAGCTGACCGATCATTAGAATGGTCAAGTCCCAAGAGATGTCCTATTTCATGCGCACCAACGGTAAAAAGGTCTATGCCTGTACCGTTTATCACCCATGTTTCACCCTCATCAAAATGGCACACTCCACCTGTCGGGAAGAACGCGTGAGCTAAGACTCCACCTGAAATATCAGACTTCATGTTATTTTTGTTATGTTTCCACAGAAGAGGACACATTATTACTGTATTAATACGCTTGTTCCATGTTAATGTTTGTCAAGAACGTTGAAGAATACACAAACGCAGGAAAAGTGAAATTTTGGTACTTCTGATCTGAAGATTGTCACGTGGTTCATTTTTGTGCACTGTCTGCGAACCATGTTTGGGAGGACGAGCGCTCACAAACATGATTGACACCGCGACGTTCTATGTGTGTCTGTCCCAAATCAGAAGCCTGTGTTTCAGCAGTTGTCGTTAGACAGGTGCTGTCTGTCATATTTGCTTCTCGTTTATTTTGTTTTCACCATAAAGAAGGCCGTCGGTTTGTTTTTGCTTGATTCGTTTTTACATTTTTTATGTTGGAGCGTTGCTTAATTCGCATTTTCTTTTTTCTATTCGACTATACGGTATGGGTTTTTCTGAATGCAATGTAAATTGACCGATAGTTTCTTGAATCTGCTCTATTCTGGTCTTTGCTGGATAGTTGTCGCCTTTGCAATAATACCACATCTCCCTATTGAATATTGAAGTCGTATTTAATCTATCTTAACAATAAACATACCAAGAACATTAATTGTAAAACTGTTCAGTTTTGCAGAGTTAAAACTTTGCAATTTCTACATGTATGGTGTATCATTTTCGTGAGATTTTATTTGTGGCATTTTTCATGCCACTTACTCTAGTATTTTTTTACAAATAAAATGTGCAATCGCAAAACAAACCTCTCGCAAAAATTCACCACTTGACAGTATTTCTGAAAAACACATCTTACCTGCTCCATCAAAAGGAGAACCATCATTGTGATCACCAGTTTCAAAAGATATAACAATGTCACTGTTAGAACTGGAAGTTTCTGTAATCTCAATATCTGCTACATCTGTCCAGAATTTGAATGCTCTAGCAAGCTCAGACCTAAAAAGAAAATGTGTTTTTTTTCTTATCAAGCAGTTGCGGATCCAGAACTTTTTATAAGGCGGCCCTCTAAATGAACTTAGGGGGCCCGATCCAGTCACGCTTCAGTGATTCCCTATATAATCAACCCAATTTTTCCTACAAAAAAGGGGGCGGCCCCCAGGGCCCCCTGGATCCGCCAATGTCAAGTCTTCCTGTGTCATCATGGTGTCATAAATTATTTTATTTTGAAATATTTTTCAAGTTCTCCTTATAATTTATAATTCCGATTTAGTTTTGGAAAAGAACCGTTATCATTGTTAAACATATTTTTGGTTAGAGGGTACAATTTAAAATGATGCTATTATGACATAATCTATTTGTTTTTTAGGATATGAATAAAGAAGATAGGAGCAAAAAAGGAGATAAAGAAAAAAACACAAACTTATATCTCACTGGATTTTACGCGACGTCTCTGGATTTTGGGTACCGTAACATTGCAATCGCTAATCACGTTGTTCTGTAAGACATTTTGCTAAAGTTACGTCACTAATTTCAATATTCCAGCGTCGTCTTTGAATAAGAAATTGAGTCATTTTATTTGCTGCATTATATCAACCTACTAGTATTTTGTTTTCTGCGTTACCAGTTAGAGGACTCGTTAAACTCTACCTTTTTCAAGGTTTATTAGACTTAGTTTTATACAAAAAGGATGTTATTTTATCTGACAAGGACCTTATATTATGTATGTATACTCATATATTAGAAAATCTACTTCATATGACAATGCATGTGATGATATAATATAGTTCTGTCCAGAGCAAGCTACATATATAGCACCACGATTTTAAATCGTTTCCTATGAGTTTAGAGTGTAATGCAAATAGAAAATACCTGGCTGGAGCTGCGGATAAATCAGTTGTAGTACTTGTTATTCTGTATGTAAGGGACTTTTTGTTCCATTTTGGACCTGAAATATATAACTTTAAGAATTATCATTATCAAATTTAAACAAATGTGCGTAGCATTTTTGAAGGCGAGTCTATTGACGATATACTAGTACTCAATTTGTCAGTACTTGGATGGATTTTAAAACTTTGAATCTTTTGTTGTTTTGACAAAAAATGCAAGTTTTAAATTCAACATAATTAAATAGACAGTACTTTTGTAACACACAACTGAGTATACATGTATATCGAACCCGTTGCATTTGTTTGCATCTGTCCTAAGTCAGGAATCTGTTGTTCAGTAGTTGGCGTTTGTTGATGTGGTTCAAACAAATGGAAGTTTTTAACGACCTTGACTGGCTATACAGCCCTTGCACGGTCGGCCGATGTGGTTCATAAGTGTTTCTCGATTTTTATATTGATTAGACCGTTGGTTTTCCCGTTTAAAAGGTTTTACACTAGTCATTTTTTATGCCCTTTATAGCTTGCTGTTCGGTGTGAGCCAAGGCTCCGTGTTGAAGACCGTACTTTGACCTATAATGGTTTACTTTTACAAATTGTTACTTGGATGGAGAGTTGTCTCATTGGCACTCATACCACATCTTTCTTATATCTTTATATTGTCCTTTTTTCAAAACCAACACCGAACAAAACTTTAAATAAACTGATTATACTTTTAACGGATGTACATAACTATTTTCTGTCATACATTTTTAAGTAACCACACTTAATCCGGCTGTATTGTACGTATACCAAATTTTATCATACATTAATCCTTGATATGCTATCTTTATCCGTGTGAACGAAATGGAAGTAATAATGTTATATCAGACCAGCTTCATGTTACGACTGTATCTATTTCAGCTAGTGGCTGATACATCAATATAATGCTCGGTCAGTTAAAGAAAACAGAAATAAATGATCCCACCAAGACCCTCGTATAGCGCAGAATTAAAAACTGATGCCTCATACGATACACAATCGGATGACTTTAGTATAAAATAATGTTTTAATGGAACATGCCTAGCTGAATGTTTAAACCAAGTAGTGCATATATAATTATCATGCTCTACTTTTCGTGTTTCGATGTCACATTAATGTATACTCCATATATCCTTGTATGCATGTAATACAGAGAAAATCTAACGTAGTATTTCTCAGATCAGTCATAATATCAACACACGACCTCAGGCCTCGAGACATTGCAATTGGTAGTAAACATGAAAAATAATTGAACAGAATATGAACATCGATCTAAAAATACCTAAAACGAAAGGTTTGACCACTCCCATAGGTATTTTAGGATCTGGGAGGCCACACCGTGGTCTGTTCATCAACTCCATTGTGGTATCGTCAAGAGTACCGGTTACGGGTAAGCTATTCCATCGTTGAAACTCCCTAAATATTAAAAAATAGAAAAACGCCCTTTAAATGTGTGTGTGTGTGTCGTTCAGTATAGCTGTTGAAAGCGTACACTGTCAGTATATAATGATGACATTATAAAATATGCAACTTATTGATAAAATTTGTCCTCATGTGTTAAGAAATATATACTTGTTTTCGTCGTCGACGTCGCGACAAACAAATCTATCGGATCAAAATGACACATTATATATTAATTTGAGAGCGGGCATATCATATATAGATTAAATTATCGGTCTAATGTACTACTTTTATTTATAACGTATAGTATTATGTTCTTATCATGAAAGTATCAAGAATTCTCTATAATGTTGTAATGTATGTACCTAAGGGACACTGCACTGCTTGGAACAGAACCAAATGTCCCGCCAGTTCCTTCAGTGACATTTTGTTTTTCCATGTATCCAAATTTCTGTAGATATTCCTGTAAAAGAGACGAGAGCATGAGATACATTTTGTACATGTAAGTGTAAAAAAAAGGAACAAATAGTATCAAAAAATGTGCATGCCACACAGAATTTACCCGCAAAGGAATGAAGTTCATAGTATATTACGCTCTCAGAAATTTAATATATCAATCTTCATGCTAAGAAATTTTCATACTTTGAAATACAGATCAATAAACACAGTAAAAGTTTGCAACTTATAATCTGTTTTGTACACAAAATGTACGACTATAACTGTTGAGGCAATATGTCAAGCATTCCACATTATGCAAAATAAATGAACACTTCTATAACTTCGTAATGTGTTGATATATTTAAATGAAAAAAGAAAACAACATCACTAGGACTATTAGTGTTACAAAATGTAACAAGAGAAAGGTAACAAATTCAAAAAAATATTGCATACTCACGTCCAAATTAAATTCGCCTGTCTGTCGGGTCCCTCTATGAACCGAGTTTCCATTTGAAAAGGAATATATAAAACAAAATATTAAACAATTGCAAAATCTCATATTTGATAAGTATTCTTTCACAATTTTTTGTTTCTTGAAATAATATTTGTGTATGTCCTGTTTTGATACAACTTAATATATTTTCTTTTTTCAAGATCCTGTTTGGAAATATAGATATTTGGTCATCTTAAATTAAATCAAATGTAATACGTACATGTAAATCCGTTTCTTAAGGTCGATGTGACCTAAATATGAGGATAAGCTCATCATACTCACACTCTATGCATGGCTCTAGCCAAGAGTTTACATTCTAATAATTGTTTATATCGCTTACCGTTTAATTGAATCATGTTGATTACTTGAAACGGGTTATTTTGAAGGTTATATTGTGATCTATTTTCTGCTACAGAATAATAGAAAGTGTCAAGATAGAAAAGTTTAAAGATTTTTTTTCATTTGAATAAAAAGTAATACAGGTCGTACGTCAATGAGATATTATCTCAACGACAAAAACTATATTTAAAGACATCTAGAGGGAAACATATGGTCACAGTCTTCGGTGTCTTTACAACATTCAAAGCTCTAAATCAACACGAGTTTATAAAACATGTGATTTATTTAAACAGAAACAATCAAAGATCTCCCATCAGCACCAAATAATGAGTTATCATAAAAACACGAAAAAGCAAAAGAGAAAACGCGAAAACGCTAAATCGCAAAATCAAGAAAATGCGAAATCAAACTCATTTCGCGTTTTGCTTTCGTGGTTTTCAGATTTCGTTTTGATAATCTATTGTTTCTGTAAAAACCAAAAATTAGATTTAATAAATGTAAAATATCTCATTTTGCAAAGGAATTTTGTTTAGTTCACCTGTAATGAAGTAAAACCAACAGTGTTTCCCATGATCATTACAATAAAGTTCACATACAGCGCATGGTGCCACAATTGGGTCAACTTTTTTAATGGCGCTGGGTGATGATTTTCTTTGCCCGACTTTCAGAACGTCATTATCGATGTTATGTAACGTAAAATCCAATAAAATGTGTTCAAAGGGGGGATTACTCGAACTTAACTTTGTAAATTCGGATTTTTAAACCGGAATCGTAGCGCAGTTTAGCCATTGTTGATATCAACAAAAATGGCGAAGTACGGGTCAGATGGCAGGTGGATAAAAGGTCCGCTGATGTAGGACCTGATGTATCTTGCAAAAAGTTCCCCCTATGCGTAGTAATAATATGATCTAAAAATAGAATAAACTAAAAATACATTATTCTACTTTCTATTTAAATTGTGACAGATCCTTGGAAAAATAAAAGATACAATCCTAACGTATGCTGTAATAAACTAATTTCTTCAATCTAAATGTAGGAATTCGTGAACATGATGGACATTGCATAGTTTATGTCATGTATTTGTTAATATGAACTGAGTTAACTTGAGTTAAATGGGTTATATTTGTTGTTTTTTTTTTTTTTTGGGTGACCTCAGGTACCCCTGTAATGAAAGACTCCTAGATACAATGCTAGGGTACATAATTATGCTGTAATCAACTAATTTCTTCATTTTAAATGCAGGACTTCATGGACGTTGTATTGTTTATGTCATGTGTTTGTTAAGGTGACATGAGTTAACTTGAGTTAAATGGGTTATATTGTTGGTTATTTTTCGGGTGGCCTCAGGTACCCCTGTAATTAAATAATAGTAGATACTACGCTTAGGTATATAATTATGCTGTAATAAACTTATCTTCATTTTAAATCTTCATTTTAAATGTAGGACGTCATGGACGTTGTATTGTTTATATGTAATGTACTTGTTAAGGTGACCTGAGATAACTTGAGTTAAATGGTTTATTTTTTGTTGTTTTTTTTGGGGGTGACCTCAGGTACCCCTGTAATGAAAGTATTAAAGATACAATGCTAGGGTATATAATTATGCTGTAAGAAACTACTTATATAGGAATTCGTGAACATGATGGATATTGCATTGTTTATGTCATGTATTTGTTAAGGTGACCTGAGTTAACTTGAGTTAAATGGGTTATATTTGTTGGTTTTTATTTTCGGTGACCTCAGGTACACAAGTAATGAAAGAATAGTAGATACTATGCTAGGTTATATAATTATGCTGTAATAAACCAATCTTCATTTTAAATGTAGGACATCATGGACATTGCACAGTTTATTCCATGTATTTGTTAAGGTGACCTGAGTTAACTTGAGTTAAATGGGTTATCTTTGTTGGTTTTTTTAGGGTGACCTCAGGTACCCCTGTAATGAAATAATCCTAGATACAATGATAGGGTATATAATTATTCCGTAATAAACTAATTTCTTCATTTTAAATGCAGGACTTTATGGACGTTGTATTGTTTATGTCATATGTTTGTTAAGGTGACATGAGTTTACTTGAGTAAAATGGGTTTTATTTGTTGGTTATTTTTCGGGTGACCTCAGGTACCCCTGTAATTAAAGAATAGTAGATACAATGCTTATGTATATAATTATGCTGTTATAAACTAATCTTCCTTTTAAATGTAGGACGTCATGGACGTTGTATTGTTTATGTAATGTACTTGTTAAGGTGACCTGAGATAACTTGAGTTAAATAGTTTATATTTGTTTTTTTTGGGGGGTGACCTCAGGTACTCCTGTAATGAAAGAATAACAGATACAATCCAAGGGTATATAATTATACCGTAATAAACTAATTTCTTAATTTTGAATGTAGGACTTCATGGACGTTGTATTGTTTATGAAATGTAACCGTTAAGGTGACCTGAGTTAACTTGAGTTAAATGATTTATATTCTGTTTATGGGAGAGACCTCTGGTACCCCTGTAATGAAGGAATAAGAGATACAGTCGAAGGATATATAATTATGCTGTAATAAACAAATTTCTTCATTTTAAATGTAGAACTTCATGGACGTTTTATTGTTTATGTAATGTACTCGTTAAGGTGACCTGAGTTAACTTGAGTTAAACGGTTTATATTTTTTTTGGGGTGACCTCAGGTACCCCTGTAATGAAAGAATAAAAGATACAATCGAATGGTAAATAATTATGCTGTAATAAGCTAATTTCTTCATTTTAAATCAAGAACTTCATGGACGTTGTATTGATTATGTAATTCCAGAAAACCAAGTATACCGATAAATTATTTAAATGATCAAATGCTTAAATCTACATAATTGATGGAAAACATGAGATTTATTTTGATTGAAAGTGATGCCATCCTTATTCAAGTTTGATATGTCTTTGGTGGTAGTAAGCATTGTGTATACAAGATGTTTAATAAAATTTGGTTGTGGCAAAGTAAAGTAGGAGAACAGAAACCTCAAAATCGCTGATTTTTCCGCTTATAAAGGGACATTTCTCCAGAACCGTGCAAGTGACACCACCCATTTCTAACTTGATCTGTGCTAGGTGGTAAAAAGGATTGTGTATTAGTTACAGAACATTTCGTTGTGGACAAGTAAAGTTAGAGAAAGGAAACCAATTTCTGGACATATGGATGGACTGGGGTAACCCGTAATTAATCCGGGTCCTTTTACCCAAAATCATATTTTTTACCACTTAAATTCGTTCCCTCTTATGTTCCAATCGCACCTGTTCGCACCCTGGGTCTCTTCCCATCCTGCACGTCTGCACCCTTTTTTAAGGTTATGTTTTTAATAATTGTTTAATCATGCTTTAGTAAGTGTACTATACAATAAAGATTATAAGTGTTCTTATTATTTTAAAATAAAGTGAAATTCTAAAAATGTTAAACAGGTTTTGTTTTGTAAATTATTTTGACATAATAAATAATGAATACTGTCATAATGATCAAACGCAAAGTCATACGTCTCTTAGACTTGTAAAAGAAAGGCGGAAGATTCCAAATAAATATCAAACTAGTCACAGTGACAACAACGAATAAATCAAATAATATGTATAGAGAATAGAGAAAATTTTAAAGAATACACATATGAAGGACCCAACCTCTACCATTTCTAGCCTTGTTGTATATCATACTTGT